GTCTCAACTAATTGTTCGAACATCGCACAACACACATTGTGCTTTATTGTTTCTGAGATGTGCACCTGGCTAGCTCCGCTGGAAAGTTAGGATTGTGTGACTGCACACGATGTTCAAACGATACTTGGGAAGGACTCCAATGTGAGAAAAATGTTTGTGATCTTGAACCATGGTTTGTTTAGCGGTCTTCTTTTTGATTGCTGTTCAACGCAGTTCAGCAACATCCATGCCACTTGTGATTTTGTGCACACTATGCTGTACAGGTGCAGCATTTTCACAGGGAGTGTGATATCGACCATTTGGGTTGTTTGGCGATGGCCCGGGATTCCGCACCCAGTCCCCTGGCCTTATCCTCCAAAGCGTCCCAATTCTTGCTGTTCCTGGGGGCTCCGTTGGTCTTGCTGCTTGGCCGCAGTCAAAACTTTGATGCAGCCCGTTTATTGAAACATCTTGAAACACAAGCTGTCACTTTTGGGCTTCTTGATGGTGATCAATATCATCTGAGTTTGCACTGTATTGACTATGTCGTTGAGCACACGCCTACGGGACAAAGTCGCAGGGAACTGACCTTAGAAAAGCACTCTTGGTTAGTGTATGATCATGCAACCTTTTGTACAGGATTCTGAAGTATACTAATCTTGCGCAGCTGAGGATTTGGTGAATGTGGACCTGTTTGCCGGTGAAGGAGCGATTAATGCTGCATATGGTGGGGGGCTGATCATCTTTGCCACTATAAATTTGTACTACTCAACATGTGCAAATGGATGGAGGTACTGTCAAACATCAGTCAACCTTCTGAACTGTGATCCCAACTAAGTTGATCAGAACCTCAAGTCGTGGCACCCTTAGACAAAATAAAGGTGACATGTGCTTTAAGGTTTTTATGGTGTCAAGATACCATCTGAGGAAGGCCTTTGATGTAGAAAGCTCCGGAGATGATGGAGATATTTTGACGCCGTTGGGGGCTTGAACGTGTGTTCCATGCAAATCTTTACCATTGAAAACTTGAAGGTAAAATTGTATCTGTGTTGTGTCCCATGTTTTGTTCTGTAAGGCAAGGCTTCATGAAAAGCATCCAGCTCACCTTGAGACTTCGAGAGGGTGGACTAGCCACGGCCGGTCCACCATGCGGTTCTTGGGTGTTCTTAAACATGGGGACATCAAAGCGTACGAAGCTTCGCCCATTTGGAGCTCCCCTGGAGTACGTCAGGAAAGCAAACAGGAGCCATGGACTCGAACCGCACTGTCTTATGTTTCATGAATCAAGTTGCTCTAAAATCCAGCTCAAACAAAAACGAGTTGACCATAGTTGACCTGATGCACATTTGTTTGCCGACCACATTTCCAGAGAACGACTTTTGTTCATGTGAACTGGGCCTATTTTGGAATCATGGGATAAATTGGACCTGGTAGGTTTGGCTCTCACCCACTCTCTCACCCAACTAACTTGAATCTCACGCTGCCAAGGATCACATGCCGGCTTTGCCTTTTGCTGCTGCTGGCCTTCACGCGCTGCGCAATCTTTCTGGTAGAGCAACCATCAAGTACGCTGATGGTCTACTTTCCATACTTTGTGTGGTTGTCAAAAACCATCCAGATTTTCTGGCCCTGGCTGATGTCCCGATTGTTAGCTACTCAGTTTTTTGCCAAACATACGCGGTAGCAGTCTTGCACATTGTTCGTTCCAAATGTTGAACATTTTTTGTGCTTTGCAGAAGTTGGAATTGTGAGCTAAGTCATATGGGAAGCTACGGGCACCAGAACTTGAAACCAACAGTGGTCTTTGGGAGTGCGCAGGGGGCCCAGGATTAACCGATCCATCTATGCCAAATGTTTTCTATGACCATTTCAGGGTATTTGATATATGTTTGTTGACGGACGGTGCTAAGTCCTTGGTCCTATCGCCTGTACAAGAAGATCACAAAGAAAGTGAGAAACCGAATCAAGAAGAACAAGGCCACAGTTCGCCAGTACATTGATGCCAAAGGCCGCAAACGAGTGTGCTAGACTTAGGTGTGTTTATTGTCCACTGTTCGTGCTAGATTTCCAAACGCCTCCTTCAAAGCCAAGGCCAAGTTTCCCACAAAGAAACACAATATTTTAGGGTGGTTTGAATGAGCGTGGAGGACTTGGAAATTGGGCAATCTATACTTCACCTTAATTCAGTTCATCATCACAACACCATTTCAATTGAACCCTAACTACACTAGTCCTTTTTCCATTTGCTGCTAGCATTCAACTCAGGGTTGGGAATCCACTTCAACTTCGCGCCTCACAAGTGTACCCTCGGGGGTATGGCGATCGCATTTGTGAGCTGCACACTGAATGGATGGTACCGGGGCAGCAGCAACAATCTGATTAACGTCCACTATATGTCACTTTGAACTTGAGAGCGCAAATGATGATCACAGCTGTGTGTTTCCGTTTCCGGAGCCCTACTTGCCTCGTACTTCGAAATTGGGCGTCTGGCCTGACCTCAGGCAAACCAGGACAATTTGAAGAACGTGCGGGAGGCCATTTATCCTCGTTTTGGAGGCTTCCCAGAAACATCCTTGCTCAAAAAGGTGCAGAAGGCTGGACTTGGTGATTCCATTTCCAAATTCCCAGTTCATGAACATGCCCGTCCATACTGCTACTCCAAACTACTTCAACCATTCAAGTGGTCCTTGTTGAACCGTTGAACCATGGGAGGTCCCATACGCATGGCGCCATGCTGGTCTAGCTGAGATGCGTGACTTTCTCCGGACTGAGCGGGATGCTGGGAGGTATCACCCTGTACTTACCAGTGGCTTAGACGATTGAAGTCTCTGAGTCTGAACAATTTGACTTAGAAATTCATGGTGCATAATTATATGTTGTGCTGGGTGTACCCGGGTGGCCCTGGAGGGAATTTAGTATGTGTTTGGGACAATTGTAGAGTTTGCGCACGTTTGATTCATACTACAGCTTCCTTGTCGACAAGTGTGGAAGGGCACTTGAACAGTGAATGCTCCAGGGTGGACCAGGGAGTGCCCACATGCTGACAATATCCAAACCGTTTCGACTTGAAATGGAATGCTTTCAACCATGAATCGACCGTGAAAGAATCGTGAACGACCGTGAACAGACCGTGAACGAAGGTAGTTGAGCGTGAAAGAAGGTTCTTAGGCGTGAACGACGATTACCGTGAACAAACCGTGAACGGAGGTAGTTAGGCGTGAAAGGAGGTGTTTAGGCGTGAACGACATGACCCAAAAAAATACACTGATTGTCACCATGTGTTCGTATGTTTTTCACTGGCATGTTGCAATGGTAGTTTTCAACTAACAGATCATAGGCAGCCGCTCTGTGCTCAGAAGGCATTTGGCAAGGATGGTGGATGTGTCAGATGTTTTGGCAAGGGCCAAGAAAAGAGCACACCGAGCAGCCGCATCTGCTCCTGGTCATAAAGGTGGTGATCTTCCAGGTGCTTCTACGAGGACACGATATGTCTTGCCAAGTTATGATGTGCTGCGTGTGGCTGTTGGTGTGATAAAGCTAACACATGCTAAAACGCAACCCTGGAGAACCGTGAACACACAGAACTGTGAATCTCCTTTTCATGGTGGGTTGTCAAGCCCCACTTTGCAAGATTTTGGTGTGTCATTTCATATGATGTTCAGATCATGTTTCCAAGATTGGGTGGGTGACTTACTTTAAGTCTTTCTTTTTTTTCAGCTCTCACATTGCTACCTGAACTCAATAACCGGGATCCCACAAGTGGTGCTTCCAGGATACTATATGAATGTTTATTAGCTGGAATGTTCCAAGCATTCAATGCATCCTTCCCCCCTGGTGCTCAACCATTGAATTATTACCCCTTGATGAAAACAATGGGGATCCCACGAGTCATACTGTCAGGATCTTTCAAGCGTGTAAGTTCCGCTCTCCACCATGGGACTGGTTTTGATCAAATAGTGGGCCAGCCAGGATTGAAGATGAGAAGAAAAGGCATGGCATTCAAGCAAATGAAGGAGGCTGGGTGACCGGGCAAACGACTTGCGACCAAGTAGCCTTCCAAAATCCATGTTGTTCACATCCAGGATGCAAAATGCGTTTCCTCCTGAGCAGCAATCACATTTGGCGGTGGGACCCAGGTCACAATGGTTGTATACTGTAGGGTTTGTTTCCTAAGGTGGACATTCCTCTGAAAGGAAGATCTCAAGACAAACCAGACTTGCAAGTTTTCATGAATTGAGGCTTGGTGTGCCTATGGACGTCCCTAGTCTATCAAGATGGTATCGCAACGACCGGTTTGTTCAAATCGCATCCCTCACAGTGCCTGTCAAATTGTGCCAGAGGTGCTGAATCAAAAGCAAAGGCTGCACCAGCACAGGAGGCAAAGAAAGACCCGAAGCCCCAAAAGCCTGCCACATCAGCTCTGGCTACTCCACCAGCCAAGATGAAGAAAAGTCCAAGTGAGCTGGAGCAGCTTGCTTCAAAGCCAAAAGAGTCCCAGAAACAAACGGCAGCGAAGAGGAAAGCGGAACCGCTGACACGCCCCAAAGAAGAAAGCCCAGATTCCAACTCCGCCCAGGCATCTCAAGCAGTCCGGGATTGCTTGAAAAGGCCATCAACCAGAGACCTTCCAGCTGAGGAGACACCCGATGACAAGGCTCCCAAGTGGAAAGCCAAGAGGACAGCCGAAGCCAAAGAGACAGCTCATGACGACGATGACACGGAGGCCAAGAAAAGCAAGAAAGCCAAGAAGACAGC